GCTGCCCCCACCCTGGTGCCCCCCCTACCCCCAGCGTGGGTCCCCCTCCGGCTGCTGGGGTGGGTGAGCCCCCCCCTCACAGGTAGAGCTCCTTCTCTTTGATATGCACTAGCTGTTCGCGGAGCTGGTGGAAGGACGGCCGGTGGCCGGGGTCCAGGGTCCAGCACTTCTTCATCACCTCGTAGACGACGGCGGGGCAGCCGTCGGGGGCATCCATCTTATAGCCCTTCTTCACGCGGGGGACCACGGGCTGGGGGTACAGGGTTTCAGGAGGTGGGGGCATGGTTTCCCCCCCCGCCCTGCCTCAAGCAGGGGCTCGGCCCCCCCCAAAAACCAGCCCTGAGGAGCGTGGGGGTGGTCCTCACTTACGATTCTCGGATAAGGCACTCGCCCGAAGGAGTAGATTTCCCAGAGGAGGATCCCGAAGCTCCACACATCTGACTTGGTGGAGAATTTCTGGAGGGAGGGGAGAGAAGCCCCGTAAGCAGGCTCAGGCAGGGATCTGGGGCAGCAGATCTTTCCCACCTTCACAGCAGCTGGTTTTGGAGGTCAGACAGCAGGAACTGGGGCTCAGGCACTGTCTCTGCACGGAAAATTTGGGGCAGCCCAGGAAGGGCCCCTTCCTCCAGCCTCCACAATGTCCCCACAGCCCAGGAACCCCTCTCCGCTCACCCACCTTTTCTCTAAGTGCTTCTGGTGCCGTCCACTTCACCGGCAGCTTCCCCGTGTCCTGCGTGGAGGAGGCTTCCTTGGTCAGCCCAAAATCGCTGACCTTTGCGATGTTGTCCTCCGAGACCAGGACGTTCCTCGCCGCCAGGTCCCGGTGGACAAAGTTGTTGGCTTCCAGGTACTCCATGGCTTCACAGACATCTCTGGTTGGGGTGGGAGGGAGAAGGGGGTTAGCAAGGTGTCCCCAAAATGCCAGTGGGTGCAGGTCAGGGTGGTGGGCACGGCCAACCCTTGGTGCCTCGCTGCTGTACTTACAAGGAGAACTTCAGGAGACAGTCTGCACCGAGGACCGACCGCCCACGTGACCGCAGGTAGTCTACTAGGCTGCCCTGGAGGGATGGAGAGAGACAGTGCCACCAGGGTCAGCAGCCACCCACCGCCCTCTTCCACATGGGGCAGGACCCAGGGATGGCGTCCCTCCCTCGGAGCCAGCGATGCCACCCCCAAACACCATGCTGGCCCCAGGGAAATGTCACCCAAGCTGGGAAAGCCCAGCTGGGTCTGCCAGGGTGAAGCCCTGGGACCCTGGGGGAATGCTGGGTGGGGGGAAAGAGAGGCAAAGCGGGAGGGCAGGTGCCCGGGGTGGGGGTCTCACCTTGGCCATGTACTCGGTGACGATGTAAAGGCCGCTCTTCTCCTCCACAATCACCCCCAGGAGCTGCACCAGGTTGCTGTGTCGGAGCTGCCTGCGCAGTGCAGAAGGGCTCAGGGAAAGGTTTTGGGGAGAAGTGGGGCTCCCACGGTCCCTGGAGGGCATTGGGGACCAGATGTGCCCCCTCCTTTGCACTGTGTCCCCCCCCTCAGTAACACTCACGTCATCACGGACGCCTCCGCCAGAAAGGCCTGCGCTGTGGCATCGTTTTTAATGCACTTCACGGCGACTTTGTTCCCCCGGTAATCTCCCAGCATCACGTCTGCAGGCCAGGAGAGACGGGCACGGGAGGCACTGGGAAGCATCCCGGCCTCCTGGAGCCCCACCATCACCCTTGGGGGGGCGGGGCTGCAGAAGAGCCCCCCTGCTTAGGGCCACCACAGTGCTGGGGACATGGGACTCACCTCCAAACTCCCCTTTGCCAATGATCTGCAGCAACTTGAGGTCCTTCATGTTGAGGGCCCAGCCGCCTGCGTGGGGGAGAAGGGAGAGTGAGGGGGTGCTGGGGGGGTCCCCAGGAGCCGGGGAAAGGGCATGGCCACTCACTGCGGGAGAACTCGTCCTGCGCTGCCACCGTCCCCTCCATCACCTTCGGTTTGATGAGGCGGGTGCAGAGCCCGTCCGCGTCCGTGGTGTAATGCTGTGGGGGGCAAGGGGGGAGACAGGGGTGAGAGGCAGACCTGCCGCGGGGCTGTCCCACCCG